AAAGATAAAATGGCACAGTGCTGATACAATCTCTCCTTAGTTCCCAGGAGGATATGACCTCTTCAGTTTAATCAGATATTTACATTAAAGTCTAAACCTCTCATGTGCTAACTTCTTGGTAGGACTAGACTAGGAAAGGTTGATTGCTTTTTTGTCTGATCAAAGGTACACCCTTGTCTCCCCAACCTAGAAGCAAACTGTCTTGTTCAATTTGTGTGTGTGGGGGTGGGGGAGGGAGAGAGAGGGAGAGATGAGAGAGAGAGATGCTTATCTGGATGTATGGTGTATTTGAAGCTCTGTATATTTTTTCCCTGTAAAAGCCAACAGAAGCAGCAGAGAAAATCCCTGAGAAGAAGCAACGCCTGGAAGACAACACTACTATCTGCCTGCTTCCCCCTTGCATCTCACCAGCCCCATCCCACAAGCCTCCTAGCACTAGAGAGTAAGTTTCCCTGTTTCAGTGTCCTGGTCCTTGTGTGATTGTGTTAACTTTTTAAAAACATCATGTTTGAGTATATTGGGGGCTTCCTGTCTCATTAGAATGTCAGGCTGGAATCAAGAGTGGCATAATCCAGTCTTGACAACAATCTCTGGTAAGTGGTCTAACATGAATTAAGAACAGAATATGGGTTATCATGATTATGGTGAATATGAGCTTTTAAGAACCATTTCTTTATTGCAACTCAGAGCAATCATCAGAATTAACCACAGGGATCATTCTGCACCAAGCAAAAAAAATAAATAAATAAAAAAGTGAATTAAAAAGAGGAAATATCAGAAAATACAAATCATTTTAATGAGATCAATCTTTTGGCCAAGGTTCAGTCCTGATGGTGACTAGACAATTTCCTTTCTCTTGATAGGATGACATATTAAATGCCATTTCCTATTGTTAATACAAAGCTAGACTAGTCCTTGTATCCTGCCTCTACAGAAGTCAGGAGGATCACATGTTTGGGAAATTGTGCTCTACCCCCACAAAGGCTGTTCTGGCATTGAGAAAAACCTGGTAGAGATAGATATGTTGATTCTAACAAACTGCCCATCCTCTCCCTTCTTTCTCTATGGCAAGATTCCAAAATTAAGCAGGAAGAATCCTAGTCCTTTCCCCAGTCAAAAAACATCATCTTTCTCCAGAGAAGGCTAATCCTCTGTTTCTAGCATTATAACTGAGTCCTTTCTGTTTTATAAATATTACTTAACTAACAATCATGTCAGCTACTCGAGACATTCTGTCTGTGTAATTATTGTAATAAATTCATTCAACATTGGAGATTACTCCCATAAAAGCCCAGTTTTGGAGTCTATTAGCAGCCCAAAGCAGAGAGGCAATCTGGACAACTGCTGCTATCAGTTGATTTCACAGATTACTATTTGACATCAGTGATACAGCATCAATATGCCACAGATCAGATGCTGGAAAGAAGTTATCAGCTTGAATGTGTCTGGCTTCTTGTATTGAAATGAAAGGTAGAAACAGACTCCTTATTGCTAGACCTGCTCCACATGGTAACATTTGATGCCTAAAATGCCTGCCCTTCACTCTGAACATCACTTACTATTTGTGACATATGTATGTAGTCTCTGGTGCAGTCTGTCTTTAAAATATCTATTAACATAGTTCTCAGAAAAGGAAACACAATAAAGCAACTGGAATCTCTTTTGCTGAGTGTAGACCAGATATATGAGGAAGCAGGGATCTTGATGCTCAAATATAGTCATTCCTGGAGGAAAGATAAAATGGCACAGTGCTGATACAATCTCTCCTTAGTTCCCAGACTGAGTCCAATTCATACCACCTACAGATAAAAGGCAGACCACAGTGTAGTGGACAATTGCCATACCTTCAATGCTTTACTAAGCAACTTTGCCAGGGGATTGCTACTTCATTTTATGGAAGAGTCACTATCAAGAATAAAGTAACTCTCAATTAAGAAAATGATATTTCTAATGCATAGGCTTTGTATATACTTGGTTCTTACAGTAAATGGGAAATTACTGTTTCCCTGGGAGAATTTATCATTCAGATAGGGACTATAACATGCTCTTATTCTTGTCAACACCAAGTCCTTGGAACTGAAGAAAGATGAGGAAGATTGATGCCTTAGGGGTCTTCTTTGGGGACCCCTCTTGCAATCTTTACCTGTTCCCTTGTTCTTTGGTCCTTTGCTCTAAATCCTTAAAAATTCCCAAGAGAAAAATCTTCTCCTTTATAAATGAATATGCTAAACCTGTGAAGATGCTATATCTGACTGTGACAACTGGATTTACCCCATCAACACAAAGGAAGCTCTTTTGAGTAGTCCCTCACCACATTTAGAACTTGACAAAGCCATAGCAATGTTCTTTTCTTCTGGTCTATTTTCCTCTATCCTATATAAAGATGGACGCAAATATGAAAAAAAATCTTATAGTTGAAAACAATCACACTGAGCTTTCTTAGAAAAAAAAATCTCCTGGATGTCTTTTGTCAATGAAATTATTAAATATCCAAAACCTCTGTCTTGCTACTGAGTAGATAAAAAAGGGACTATGACACTGGTGCCTATTGCATGGAATGGACTTTTTCTCTATCAGGTCAGGTGAAAATGGGAAAGTGCTGACATTCAGTTTATGATCAAGTACCTCTCAAAACCAGCTATTCACCCTGCAGCACCCACTACCTCTTAGCCAGTTCAAGTGTGCTGGTTACAAATAATAGAGGAAACAGCAATGGTTTACTTGTGTGTGTGTGTGTGTGTGTGTGTGTGTGTGTGTGTGTGTGTGTGTGT